TTACTGGTACAATAAACCATAGCTGATTGACCAATCAGAGTGCGTGCATTCATTTAATTATTATATAAAATTACATAGTGTGCTAACGACTTCTTTATGGCCAATCAGAGCTTGCATTACTAGACTAAAATTTGTGAAAAAAGCGAGGTGCATCAAGTTTGCAGGATATGTGCAATTTTGTCTATGTCAGATAATCGGCTGAGGAATTTTCAGATGTTTTCTGTAATCCTGGAAGATTTTACTAGAGATGATATGGGCAGCAAAAATTAATGTCTTATACTCAGTGATCTGTAAATAATCTGACACTGTTTACATCAACTATGGTACCTGTGAGTTGCATATTTTTCAGACAAAATCAAACATACAGGCCCCAGTCGTTCGAAGGCTGGATAACGCTATCCACCTGATAAAAAGCTATCCAGTGGATAAGTGTTAACAAAACAAACCGTGCTATCTGGTGGTANTGTGTTTTCCCCTACACTTCTTTCATGCTCTACCGCTTCCTGCGTGCTTTACAACAGAACAGAGCACAGTCGAGGCTTCTTTATTTGTTAAATAAACCATGCAGGTTTTTGGAACTTAGAACTTTGAGTGTTCTTCCAACATCCCAAGTGGTTTATCATGCCTCTAAACCATAAAAACTTGTGGTCTATTGCTTTTACACAATAATTCAGAAGACATGCAAAACTTCCATGAGGTTACTGGCACAATTAACCATAGCTGATTGACCAATCAGAGCGTGCGCATTCATTTAATTATTATATAAAATTACATAATGTGCTAACGACTTCTTCATGGCCAATCAGAGCTTGTATTACTAGACTGAAATTTGTGAAAAAAGCGAGGTGCATCAAGTTTGCAGGTTATGATGCAATTTTGTCTATGTCAGGTAATCGGCTGAGGAATTTACAGATGTTTTCTGTAATCCGGAAGATTTTACTAGAGATGATATGGGCAACAAAATGTCTTATACCTAGTAGTCTGTAAATAACCAGACACTGTTTACATCAGCTATGGTGCCTGTGAGTTGCATATTTCTCAGACAAAATCAAACATACAGGCTCCAGTCGTTCGAAGGCTGGATAACGCTATCCACCTGATAAAAAGCTATCCAGTGGATAAGTGTTAACAAAACAAACCGTGCTATCTGGTGGTAGTGTTATCCATTTTTTGAATAATCCAGGCATGGTATGATGGCTCTGTGAAACTTTTGAGCAGTTTCCTTGGCATTTGTGATAACAGAAATTAAGTCAAAGGTCGACATGTTTTGCCGCAGGCAATCAAAAGTTATAAGTTTGACACACAGCAAAGTACTGCGAGCAATTGCACAATGAGTTGCAGGAGTCCCTGATTAATCTCCAGGGTCATCCCAGGGCATGAGATCAGGAGCACTGCTGACCAGCATTGCCTTTGAGGTTAATAATAAACGTTGCCTTTATGTTTTTTTCTCACAGATTTTTTTGACTTCTTTTGAAAATGATGATGTCGAGGTCACTACTCTCCAGGCTCCCTCAGACATCGGCCTCTGAGCAGTTCTCTGGTCCTCTCATGAAGGTCCTTTGGAAGGCCATGATGGTTGCTGGGTATGAAGAAATTTACTGACACGTCGAAGGAATAAAAATGAATCAAAATAATATTTTATCACAATAGCTGGGATCAGGCTTTTGCCTACAAATTTTATTAATGGATCAGGGTCTTGAATCATATAAATTTCAGGTCTAGCAAGGTGAAAAACTTAATTCACTCAGAAAATTTTATTATTGATCATCTGACTGTACCGCACATGTTTTGCTTTCATAGGGTTTTGATCTATGGCTCTCATGCCATATTGATCAACTTGTGTAAAGATGAAAATGGAAAAATCCTGTTCAGTTCTGCCTCAGTGGTCTTGTTGAGTGAAGTCATCAAGGTTAGCATATACCATAATGAGTTATTTTACCGTCTGGAGTGTTACTTTTACTTTTGGTAGCTCAAGGTCAAGGAAGGGCACTTTTAGTTTTTCTGGAAGGAGTTCTCGTTAGGGGATGAGGTGCTTATTAAATGTTTTTCTGAACATATACTTCTGAATATGGTACTTTTAACAATGCTGTGATTAATGAAAATCAACACATACTTTAACTCAAGAACTGTAACAATAGGGGATCTTATAGTCATTTTCAATATTATGTTCAGACGAGAAAAAAGACCTGAATTAATTTGTCGTATTTGGGTTATTCTATATCAATGTGTAATGAATGGTACGACATGTAATTTGCTAAGGGCATGCTTACTTGAATGGGGTGCTTACTGAGAAAACTACACTCAATGGGGTTAGCATTTAATTAGAAAGGCAGCGCATAATGGAAGGAGTGCATGGAATCAAATCATTACTAACAGTAGTAACAAAAATTAGCTAATTAATAAGATTGTTGAGTAATATAATTCTAATTCCACAATCATAGAATCCATCTGGTTTTGCTTTAGAATAATGTTGTGACTGACCACTATTAATATTAAATTGTTTTCTTTCCAGTTTCTGTTTTCAGTGGCCTTCCTTATCCCAGAGATATGGCGTGGAGCTGTTCATTTTCCTCCAAAAAAGACTCTGGTGTTCTTTTCCCTCCCTGCTTTTCTTTACTTCATCAGTAACAACACAGCAGTACACATTCAAGTTTACCTTGATCCTGCAAGCTTCCAGGTAATCACACTTTCTAGCTCTCAGCTTAGTACAGATAGATTCCTTGTTGCCTTGCGTGTTTTCAGTAATAGATCACAGATGACGTCCAAATGTGGTAAGAGCAAAAAAGTGGCAAGTAAGGTGATTTTCTGAGCTCAAATAATCTTTATAGATAACATGACTCTTGATAAATGAAAACATTAAAAACCGAAAATTAGTAGTAATAATAATAATAGTAATAGTAATAATAATAATAATAATAATAATAATTAATGATAACAATAATAATAGTAATGATAATCATATAATAATAATAATAATATGATTATTAGTAATGATTACTATTTTACTCTGAGATGTTTTCCCTTTCCCTTGCTTACAGTTTTCTAATGTGTTTTAGGTTCTGTGTAATTTCAAAACAGGAATCACTGGGATTCTCTACTGGCTCATAATCAGAAGGTGATCACCAACTGAAGAAGTTTTATATTAGCATCTTATTAACAGAGTGAGGTTTTTATGGGAAAATCTCAAACCAAGGCCTTGCTGTCACTATTGACCAAGCAATACAATAGTGCTGTCAATTTGTCACGGCTGAGTTTTGAGATTTTCACATGAAAACCAAACACTTGAGGTTAAAAGTTGTTTTATATTGTATGGCTTTTTCCTTGTTATTGAAGGACTTTTGCAGGTCTTTTAAAGGCCTTATTAATATCTGTCATCACAGGCAGCTGGTAGAGCATGCAGAGGGCTAACAGGAATTTTCATACTTCATGAAAAGTAGAAGATAGTTTATTTGCAAGCTGTACATCCTCATGTCATAAAACGTTTCAGTGCTTTCAGAAATTAAGCTTTGCAGGGAAAACACTCTTGAACTTTTTATTTGAAGATCTCCTGGCTAAGCTGCAATTAGATGTGTAGCACAGCCATGTGCACAGTACTAGGGCTAATCTCCCTCCTTGCCTTTTGGCTTTTGCAAGCTTGATTTAGGATCAAAGCCTGTAAAGCATGTGTACATGTATGGATGACAGGGAGATTTTCAACAAAATGCCTGGACTTAAAGTTATATATAATATTTATTGTTGTTTGGTCGTTTCCAGAAATATTTCTGAAAAGCAGTGGATTGCACTTGGATTGATCACTTTAGCTGGATGTTTCAACAGGTCAGTTATGAAAAGCCCTCCTGTTAATTTAACTGATGTATATTATGAAGGGACGAATGAAGGGAGGAAGGAGGGCGAGGGAGGAGGGGAGAGAAAGTAGGAGGGGAGGGGTGAAGGAATGGAAGTGAAGGAGGGGTGAAGGCGTGAGAAAGGGACATGAAGGAGAAAGGAAGGGAAAGAGGAAGGGAACTGAAGAAAAGAGGGGGTGGCTAGGAGGAAGGGACACATGTGAAGGGGGGAAAGGAGGAAATGAAGGAAGTAAAGGAGGGAGGGATGGTAGGAAGGAAGGGAGGGAGGAAGGGAAGAAGGTGGGTAGCTAGGGGTGAAGGGAGTAAAGGAGGGAGGAAGGCAGGAAGGGAGCAATGTTTTCATTTACATTTTTTTTTTCCGAGTGATGAGTTTGCTACATGCCTGTCTTCCTAAATCATATAATTTTCAAGCTTGACATGTGCTATGATTAATATTCATTAATTTTCTTTGTGCACATTCTCACAGGAATGCATAGTTTAGGCACCTACATGTATATAATGGACAGTTCACTTGGTCCCCCAAAAGCATGTGAATGTCTGACTTATAATCTACTATTTCCCATGTTAATGAGGCTAAATGGCCATGTAATGTCATTTCTAAAGTTCAACACTTCTCCCTTAGTTATGGTGGACTCCAAACAGCCCAAGACATTATACAAGTGCGAACCAACTCCACTGGCACTGGAAAGCAGATTTATGTCACAGTTAAAGGGCTCTTGTTAATGGTATTTTACTGTACTATGTCAGGCCTTGCTGGAATTTCAACAGGTAATTACTTGTAACTGTACATCTTTCATCAGCCTTTGAGGGGGATGCAGGGGGTGAGAACAGGGAGGGTGGAGAGAGTGGTTGAACATGACAGAAAGAGACGGAATCCATGAGATTCAAACAGCGTACCCACAGTGTAAAGAAAACCGTGTTTGATAGCCCAGGGTTAGTAGATCTTACTGTCAAGCAAGTGCATTTTATCCTTCACTTGCGTGATGGGCAAGTGAAATTTCTTGGGGCAAAATTTGAGAAAATTCAAAAGTAGAAAACTGTAAGACATCAAATTATTGTAAGTTTTAATTTTAAGTTTCAATTGATTAGATGTGCTAGTGGGAAAATGTTTTTTAGGGTAGTGAACATGACTGTTGGCCTCATGTGTTCTTGTAACAGCTTGCCCCAAAGGACAAGCTGGGAAACTGATATTCTTTGGACTCTTTACACCCTGGTAATTTGAAAGATTCAACCGGGAAATAGTTAAGACCAAGCCAAGTTCTGTAACAAAATTTTATAAAGTACATAAAATATCAACACATACATGTACAAAATGTAAGTCCTAGTGTGACTCACATTTAAATCTATCATTTCAATCTAGTTATTCCTTGTTTTATTAATTAATTAATTTTTTTTTTCACTTAGAATACATTCTGAAGAGGCAGTACAAGGTAACCTTTTGGAATTTTCTCTTTTTCTTCCCCAATGTATCCATAAATCTCCTTACTATTAATTAAAACTATAAGTTAAGTAACAGTTCTAAGCAAATAGAGTCCCACTGGGAGCACTGTGCCCACGGGGGGTGGGGGGACTCGCATATATAATGGTCAGGGGTACAGGGTGCTTATTGTACCTTTTAGGGGTTAAAAAAAGCAGTTTTGCTACCTCTTAGGGTGTTAAGCCTCCAAAGGTCCACAGCTGGAGCCTTTGCGGTACCTTTTAGGGTATTGAGCCAAAAAAATATGACAGGAGATAATGTGTTATGTAAGAATTGATACCACTTAGGGGAGGAAAAAAAAATTTTAAGCCACGCCCACAAAACAGGATCTTGGTACCTCTTAGAGTTTTTTTTTTTTACATTTCTGACTAGCACCGCCATCTTTTTTATATGGGAGTCACCCAGGGCATTGTGTATCCCCTTTGCTCCATATGGAGCCTAAAGTAATAAGTCAGTCAAGTAAGTCAAAAGTTCAACAGCCATGCAGATTCAAACTGCCTGTTGTTTGACGTAATACAGGTAAACGGCGGAATTAAGTTAATGTGCAAAGTGTTTTTTTTTTCTTTCCGAATTTATTTCATTATAAGTTCATAAGCCATAACTTGGCTTAATGTTTTAATTGACCAATCACATAGCCGGGAAAAGGCGGGGTTACGGTTCACATGTACAACCGTTAGTAAGAGTGAAGGCTGATTTCCGTTGGCTTGTAATTTTACGCCAATAACTTCTCGACAAGTTACGCAGAATTTTAGGCTCTATCCACATTACGCTGAAGAAATTTAGTTTAAAATGCAGCTTTGTTTCTACGGTTCGGCCCACCGTCCACACTAGTTCGTCACGAAAACGGGGCTATTAGAAAACGCTCTTCAGACCGGAGGAATTTGAAAACACCGGCTTTGCGTTTAAGCGTGGACGGAAAACATTTTGAAAACGGAGCATTCCTTAAACGCAAAATAATCCAAAATGACCGGTGATTGTTGCGTTTTCAAATTTCTCCGGCGTAGTGTGGAGGGAAAACATCTGATGCGTTTTCAGAGTGAAAACACCGTTTTTAAATTCCTCCTGCGTATTTTGGAAGAGGCCTGAAATTTTGATTCGTTCGACAGCTCTCCCTTCACTTGCAAAACACTTTGATGTACTTGTATGGTATGATTTTCAACTTGTGTGCCTACGCTTGGTCGCAAGGATCTCTGGGATCTGTTCTTGATCCATCTGCTGGTGAGTTTGATCGATTTTGTGGGGCAATAGACCAATTTCGATATATTAAAATTCAGCCTAACACAATAGACCTCAGCACGAGGCTCTGGGGAATAACTACAGAGTTTGTCGGGTTTATTCCCCAGAGCCTCGTGCTGAGGTCTATTGTGTTAGGCTGAATTTTAATATATCGAAATTGGTCTATTAGTATAGGTTATCGCGTGAATGCGAGTGCATTTAAGGAACGGGTAGTAAAATTATTTAAAATTCGTAAAAAATTTAATTTCTTAGAATTGTTGCTTGAGGTAACCAAAATCATTTATTAAGAAAAATCCATGAATTTGCTTACTGAACAGTCGCTAAATCTTGAGAAAACCAAATCGCATTCAATTGTTGTTAGTTTATAATTGTACATATAAACAAAATTTGAATGTCGTTTTGAGTCTTAAGTAATACCTATCCAATTCCTCTTGTTATTTTGTTATAAGCTGGTAGCTGTTTAATGTATGGTTAATAAAGTTTTAAAATATTATTCGCTTCGATTTGTTATCCAGGTTTCTTTCGCGGTTATTCAAAGTGGACTTTGGTAATCATTTTTTGCCAGGTATGTCCTAATTGCCATTTTCAAAGGTTTAAAACTACGGACTACTTTTTCGCGAGGAAAGTTATCACTTTCTCTTCGCCTTGCTCTTTAAGTTTCTGCTAGCAGATACTTTTAAACTGGGCGTCTGTTTAGCTCCCTCTAATGCCCATCCCCCATGTTTCTATCCTATAGCAGACCAACATTTGATAACACTTCTCCTCCTGAGCAGTAACTAAACGCTCCTTTTTTTCTTTCATTCAATTGTAGGCCATGAACGGACTGATCTTGTCGGCTGTAATGAAACACTCCAGTAACCTCATACGATTGCTTATCATAGCTTGTGCGATGGTCGTCAACACAGCCTTGTCTATGGCCATATTCTCGCTGCAGTTAAACCTCTATTTCAACATTGCGTTCATTTTGGTCATCGTCGCTCTAAAACTGTACCACAGTTGAGATAGAAGAACGAAAATCACCGAGACTGCGAGACCCAGTGTCGGAAGGTCTTCGTAGATCATCCGCAGAATTTCCGAGTTTTCCGACAGTATACGCTAGAGCTTACATTGTCGGCCTAAGGATATGTCATGTATGTTGCTAAACANCCCAGACGCCAAATTTATACCGTTAAAAGCTTTTTTGACAAATGAGGGACGAGATGGGCACAATTTTGCTTACCGGTATTTAAACGATTTTGTCCAGTTTTTACCCCAGACAAATTTTGTCAGTGGTGCGTTTGAAGATTTGTATGCCTTGGCCAAAGTTTGTCAAGACGTGACAAACCATCCACACTTGTAGCGTATTGGTGATGACAGAAAATTTGTCTAAATAACAACTTTTTTGCTAGTGTGGATTGGTCCTTTGAAGAATGGCGAAATTTTGACAATCCACAAAAATTTGGTAGGTTTTTGAAACTTGGGGTCACACTTATTTTACGCTACTAATTGACAGATTTATTGCTCATACAAACAAAATTGATCCTAGTGCGACCCGGGCCTTATACAGTTCTGGGAACCCGTGTGTTTAAGAATAACTGTTCATGCTCAAATTAATCTTAAATCTGGGTCCAAGTCAATCTATTTTAGGTCATATTTGTAAAACATTAACAGATGATGCCATGTGACAAAACTATAGTTCACGAGGGTTTATTGTCCTATTAAGTCTCATATATTGTTAATTAGAAAACAGTCCTAAGAAAATATGTGCGCTGATTGGTTAAAAATCATGTTTCTATAACTCAATGGAAACACAGAACTAGCACAAGCTGTTGACGTAATGATGACTCGAGCAAAGAGAATTTTCACTTTGATAATCAAAGTTAACAAGCTGTTTTCCCTTTTTTCGTCGCGGTGTTTTCTATAAGAAATAGAAAACATGTTCTCCGTGTTTCTATTGAGTTGTAGAAACACTCATGCAAGATTGGGAGAACTCGAAAAAGCTGTGGAAACACTCGCCTGTGGCTCGCGTTCCCACAGCTTATCTCGATAGCTGGTGAAGTGAAAGAACAAAAGATTCAAAGCAGTCATCAGGGATTTTCCTTCTGTCCCATATGGTGTTGAGAGAAGATCCCTAACGATTGGAATCAGGGTATCATCATCAAGTTACCAATTAAAGGAGCTCTGTAATAAATGTGCATACCCTATCAATTCATTTGAATAGTGATAATTCATGCAAAAATAATCTTCAAGTTTTCAGCCTTGACAGAATTTCACAAAATACATGCAGGTTTTGGATTGCACTGCACTGAAGCTGCACTGAAGTGGTTGTCATGCTGCCAACCAATGAAACTCAATTTAGAACTGCCCAGTAAGTCTTGCGACAAGGCAGCCTACAGAAACCCAGGGGAGACTCCCACATAAAAAGGATGGAGGTGCCCATTGTACCTTTTAGGGGTTAAAAATGGGGTTTTGGCACCTCTCAGGAGGGTGTACATGTTCAACCTCAAAAGGTCCACAGTGGAAGCTTTTGCAGGGTATTAAGCCAAAAAATATGACAAGAGAGTACATGTGTGTGTTGTTTTAGAATTGGGGTGAAAATAATTTTAAGCCAAACCCACAAAACAGGATCATTGTAACCCTCAGAAGTTCCTTTGAAAATTTCCAACAAGCATTTCCAGAAACACTTCTCAGGAAAGATCCATTGTTTATCTTTACTGAAAATATTACATCGGGAAAACTGAACTCTGCTGTGAAACATGTATTCATCAGCTTTTAGACTGAATCAGTGAAAAAGGGGAAAAGGTTGCAATAGTGGGAGAATATTTAAAAGGGCCTACTCGGCAAGCCAAGCCAAGTGCAGATATACAGTACATACATTAAAACTTCAGGCTTAATTCATCAGCCTGGTTGTTGTACAGTCGAACCTTGATTATCCATACCTCGATTATCCACATTTCTCGATTATCCCGACTTTTTCTCTAGTCCCAATTTTGTCATGAATATTTATTAGTCATGATCAAGATCCATAGCAATATTTTAAAAAAAACTATAGCATTGAAAAGTGCACTCAAGAGCGAGTTTGTTTTGTTTTTAAAGAGCAAAAGCAGTGCTCACACGGGTCATAACTAATGAAGAACACTCGAATTAGTTCTGATTGGTTCAGAGTTAAGTGGTTCAAGATGTAAAGTAGATCATATTGTTTTCCAAGCGATTTGTAGAAGTCTTGTTTCACCATTAAATTTTGCTTTATTTTAACAATTTTGTTCTTCATTAATATTTACATTTTCGATTCTCTGGACCCTCAATTATCCAGACTATTTTCGTCTAGTCCGATCGACTCCGGATAATCTAGGTTCGACTGTACCAGCATTTTAGGGATCTGCGTATTGTAGACCACTTTCATCCCTGTTGGCATTTGTTTTTCTTCTAAATACCAGACGGATTCTATATCAG